TCCTCTATCTCATGTGTAACACAAGCTACTTAGATGTAGAGGTTGACTTGATTGAAATTCAATTTTTTAGGCAAAAAGATTTCATCAATGGGACCAGGTGCTTCTGGTAACATATCAGGACATAAGAAATTTCCTGGGGCCAGGGAGGTGGCTTAGTGGAATAAGCACTTGCCTGGCAAGCTCAAGGGCCTGAGTTCAATCCCTGGTTCCGCAAAAAAAAAGAAAAAAAAAGAAAAGAAAAAAAGAAATTTCCTTTAAGAAGCAAAGATTCAAATAATAATTATGCTTAGCAACCAAAAAAAAACCACAACAACAACAAAAAAAAACCCGAAGAAGTTAAGATTCAGTTGGTGTCAGCTGATTTCTCCATTAGCAAATTCTCAATCACCTTGCGGCTTGCAGCCCCACAGAGGACAGCTGTCCACATCCATTATCTCCGCAGGCCAAACAGCAAGCATTTACTAAGCACTCCCATGTGCCAGGCATTCTGGTCAATACAGAGAACACAGAAATAAATAAAATTGGAACCTAAACAACTAATTTGAAGATAACATCATGCAATACAGCAACTATTGTTGAATTCCTATTACTTTGTTTGGTGAAATTTTGTATTGTTTCTGTTACTGTTTTCCTTATTGCTATTTTTTTTTTTTTTTTTTTTTTTTTTTTGTGGAACTAGGGATTAAACTCAGGCCCTTGCACTTGCCAGGTAAGCACTTATTCTACTGAGCCATCTCCCTGGTCCCTATTTGGTATTCTTTAAAAAATAAAATATATTTTTAAAAAATGAGGGGGGTGGGGAGATAGCTCTGAGTTCAATCCCCAGTTCCGTAAAAAAAATTTAAAAAAAGGGTCCCTGTCCTTGAAACCTTATAAGGTAGAAGTGGGGAGGTGCTGACAAGTAAACATTCACCCATTTACTTATTAAATATTTTTTGAATGCCAATGATGTGTCAAGCATTGTGTTAGATGCCAGTAATTGCATTACAGTGTGTGACGCTTACTGAAGCTCCCTCTCTGTGCACTGTGTGCGTTACATCACCAGCCCCACGCAGCCCTTGGCTAGCACACCTCCCGCTTACAGATTGGGAAGCAGAGGCTCGAGAGGGGCAGAGACCCGACGAAGGCCACGGTTCTTCACAGACCAGAACCGGGCAGATGCGTACTGTATATGGAGAGCGTCAGTACAGGCGACTGTGGGGGCCTCGGGGATCCCACAATGTACCATCAACGAGCCAGAGAAGGGCCGGGGAGATGGCTCAGTGGGATAAGCGCTTCCCTGGCAAGTTCAAGGGCCTGAGTTCAATCCCCAGTTCCGCAAAAAAAAAAAATCAAGCCTGAGAACCAGAGAGGTCAGTATCACTGCTCGGCTCAAGTCCAGAGGCCTAAGAAACTGGGGACTCACTAGTACAAGTCCCCGAGTCCAAAAGTACAAGAACCAATTGTTCTGATGTTTAGGACAGAAGAGCAGCCTAGATCCTGAAGCGGAGGCACATTTGCCTCTCCTCTGTCCTTCTATTCTGCAGCCTGCATTTGTCTGTTATGTCTAAAGATTTCTCCACCCAATTCCCCTAATACTGGGAGTGCAATCCATACCCTTTGCATTGAGTTACATTCCCAGACCCTTTAAAAAAAAAAAAAAGAAAAACCTTTTTTAAAAAAATTTTGAGGGGCCGGGGAGATAGCTCAGTGGAATAAGAGCTTCTCTGGCAAGCGCAAGGGCCTGAGTTCAATCCCCAGTTCCGCAAAAAAAAAAAAAATTTGACACACAGCCTCATTAAGTTACCTGTGTAGTACTCAAAATTGAGATCTTCCTGCCTCAACATCCCTCAGTGCTAAAATGCAGGTGTATACCACCATGCCTCACTTCTAAAGCCTCTTAAGTCCATATGATCCTGTTACGATCAGGGCAGAATTAATTATAGGTACCATTGGAACTGAGTGGCAAACACTGCTCAATTTAGCAAGAAATGGTATGAGGCATTGGTCTACAACTCCAAGCCCCAGGGCCTCCAAGAGAAGCCAGGCAAGAATAAGACCTAGGTGCTGCTTGTCTGGCCTGACTGGATGGAGCTTCCCTGAAGGCGTGGGAGCCACTGGGATTCATGCCAGTCAGTGCCAGCTCATCTACACAGCAAAAGCTTCACTTACTTTCCAGAGAAGGTGACTGAGCAGTAAAGAGACAGGCAGCCAGTCCCATGGCCAGAGGCCACTTCAGAGGAGGCCTGTGGCTCCAAAAGGAATGTAGTTCCTGGGAAGACTCAGTGTCTGACTGCCTGGGTCCAAATCCCCCTGTCCCACCTGCTAGTCACAAGCCTTTGAACCCTTTCACATAAACTCTTTGGATTCCCAGTTTCCTCATCTTCCTCATGAGAACAGTCATAGCACCCACCTGCATTAAGTAGCTTAAGAATTTGAAGAGATAAGCTTAGTAAACATGACCAACAGGAAGTGCTTAGTAAACATTAACTATTACTATTTCCACAGTCCACATTTCTCAGGGTCCAGGATTTCCTGGCTCCTTCTATCCCAAGAGTTAGTGAGGTCCCCACAAAGGGGCTGCTGCCACAAAGGGATTCATCCACGCGGACTCCTGCTTTCTGTGCAGACACCTTTGGACTGGGTGTCTCAAGAATGGTAGCTAAGTGCTGGGGAATAGCTGTCGGGCCCCAGAGAGCTTTGGCTTCCAGTTGCCCGTTTCCAAGCAAAGAAGGCCCCGTGCACCCCTCCTCTCAGAGCCACAGTTACCTGGCCAAGGACCTTGTCTACTGGGGTGGAGAGACAAAGCCCTTCCCCCAGTTCAACACCCTCTAGGCTCAGCCACCAATGAAATCACTCTTTGGAAAACTACCTGGGGGTATCTTTGAACTAGACTGAGGGTGTAGCTCAGTGGTCGAGCACATGCTTACCCTGTGCCAGGTCCCGGGTTGGAGCTCAGTGATAGGTTTGAGCTCTATCTGTCCCCTCCCAAACTTTAAGTTGCCAGAATGGCTATTCTCCATACTCTGCTTGTACTCAGCACACCAGCCAGCACCCCCACAACAGAACATTGCCGCTGCTATGGGCAGAAGCAGCCATTTCCGCTCTGTCCCAGTCTCATGCCCCCTTCTCCTCACACCCCTCCTCAAGCCTGGCCCGCTAGCCCCTCAACCAGGCCCATAAAAGATGCAGCTCCATCAACCTGACTGGATCAGGATTACTCCAGGAGGCTCCGCCTAGAATCTCAAATTCAGGCTAACTGTGCACTTTTACTGAAGAGGGCATTACCAATAACCTAACACCCAGCACCAAAGAAGAGAAAATAAAAGAAACAACAAAAGAGATAAGTTTTCATTTTTTTGTAATTACACTATTTTCTAAATATTATATATATCTTTGAACCATGGATATGAAAATTATATAGTTTTTCCTTTAAAAATTTTTTGTGGGGCCAGGGAGATAACTCAGTAGAATAAGCATTTGCCTGGCAAGTGCAAAGGCCTGAGTTCAATCCCCAGTTCCGCAAAAAAAAAAAAAAAAAAATTGCCAGATGTGGTATACAGTGAAACTCTGACTCCAGAAAAAAAGAGGCAAAAAAATTGTGACTCATACAGGTTTGGTTTTGTTTTGTTGGGACTGGGTTTCACTGTGCAGTTTATCCTCACCTTGAGCTCACTTTTTAGCTCATGCTGGTCTCGAACTTGCAATGATCCTCGTACTTCAATAGGTAATTCAGGGGCTGGGGAGATGGCTCAGTAGATGAGCCAGGAAGATGGCTCAGTAGAATAAGCACTTCCCGGGCAAGTGTAGGGGCCTGAGTTCAAGCCCGGGTTCCACAAAAACAAAACAAAACAAAACCACCT